GATGGATGGATGGATGGATGGATGGATGGATGGATGGATGGATGGATGGATGGATGGATGGATGGATGGATGGATGGATGGATCCCTTCTTCAGCACACCTAAAACAGATGAATTTCTAACGGCCAGGCTTCTCCCAAACTTACCAACATGCCAGGGAGGTAATTTGACATTTTATTTGAGATGTTTTGGAGAAGGCATGCATACAAAAGATGCAGGACAGTGGCACTTGAGGAACAACGTAGCTTTCCCCTGATCTAAAGCAAATATTTACTGCAATATCTGGATAATTTATGTGATTATTTTGTTGAATTATTGCAGCAATAGTCAGTTTATTCCTGTGTAAAGAAATTCAGTCAAATTTAGAAATACTTTGAGGCAAACTTAATGTTGTAATCCTTATTGTGGTTTCTTTAAAGATGTTAATAGCTGTAGACAGGAAGGATCTGCTGTAGTGGCCTACAGATTATCTGGATGAGCCTCTGACGAAACAGACTCTATTGTTATACAGCAACCTCAAGAAGCAAATGCTCAGGGTTGTCAGAAATGCTCTTCATTTTATGAGGATTTGCTCTCTGTAAAATCATTGGCAGACATTATGGAAGAGTTCCCATTAAAGATCTAGCCTTCTATATTAGCTTGTCTAGCTGTTTTAATTCAACTGCTCTGATGAGGCTAAACCAACAGCTGAAGGGAGAAGAAATCACAAGCTCCACAATAGACTTATAGAAAACATGCAAGTCAAAAAAATATATATATATTATATATAATTTCTCAAAACCAACAGTAAGCAATATATTTTATTCCCAGTTTTACTGTCAGTACTGTTAAGGCTAAAAAAAATATACTATATCATATATAAGGATGCTATCTCAAAAATTTCACCATCTACAGTCTAGAATAAATAACTTTATTGACAATATTTATGGGAAAAAAGGCTCAGTGCCAAAAATACTCTATTTAATCGAAATGAGCTATATCAGGTTTACTGTGTCATACCCTCAGACAAAACAGCAAAAGTTAAACTTGCGGTATAAAACATTTTTATTCTTTGCAAATGCTTTTTTTTTTCTTTTTTTTTTTTTTTTTTACATCCTCTTGACTGTTTCATATTTTCCACGTTTGTGGACTTCCAGCAGGGATGCCCTGTGACTGCAGGAGGATCCCTCTCCAAGAGGAGATACATTTCTTCTGCTGGTCGAAGTAGAGAAGTAGATATGAAGATGAAAGGAGCAGGATACAAAGCAATCCTTGTTACAACCTGTCAGAGGCGGCAAATTTATTTGGAAGTGAAACTCAATATACTGCCAGAACGACATAGGGTGGGGCGAATAGGATTTGAGTCAAAGTACATTCATGTGTTACAACTGATTTTTTAAGATGTAGGTAAAGATTTCAGTCTCTAGATGTGTAAAGCTGATAGATACATCCCAGAAATAAAAGTACTGCATCAAAAATTGCAGAAAATTATAATTTCTAAAAAAAAATCCAACTATTCCATTAATAATAATTAAAAAAAAAGATAATTCCAAAGCACTGCGTCTCTTTCATTGTACTGGACTGAAGGTACCAGATATGAGTCAGTTACAGGCCTAGGTCAGGGTGACCCACCACTTTATTGGAGCTATATGAGAAGCCTCCATTTTTGGTAGCAGATAAAGGATCCCCTGAGGTGAAGATGTGCTGTTGTATGAGCGGCCAAAACAACGGAGGAGGTATGAGCTCGGTGGACAGAAGCGGCTGCTGAGGTGGCTGACAGAAATGCTCTGCAGCCACAAAGGAGAAAACTGGAGGGGAGGGGAGCGAAGGTGTAAACCGAGACACATCAGAGTTTGAGTCCTTGTTTTTTTCAACACAGGAAGCCAAAGATGGACATCGGCGTGGAGAGAGCTGGCTCTCAGTGTGTGATGTAATCTTGTCCGGTTTTTCTTCTGCCTTTATTTCCTGTGGTCCCATCCTGCTGTTCTGCAGAACATCATCCAAACAGGCCTCTCTTGGAAGAGACGAGCTTCTCTGACCTTTTCGAAACTTTGCCCTCCGGTTTTTGAACCACACCTACACAAGAAATGGCAAAGAGAGAAAGTTTAATATTATTTTGGAACCACTAACAATACTTTAATGCGACTAAAAATCAGCAGCAGTCGTCGAGGCAGCCTCGTTTTCAAAAGAGATAATTTTTAAAACAATTTTAAACACAAAAAAAATTCAAAAGTG